AGTGGGTCCTTGATGTGCCAGTAAACAGAAATAGCTCCTGGGGGGAGCTCTGTATGAGTCATGGGGTGAGGCATGGATGGGCCCATTAACAGGGAGGACTCCTCCTGCTGGGTGGGAAGGTGTTAACATCTCCCCTGACCTTGAACCTCTTTCCTTATCTGTTATAGCCTGGGGTGTGAGGTCTGTCCTGAGGAGCTGCTACCCATGATTTTCTTAACAGCCCATGAGCACTGACATAGAGAGTATAGAATACACAGTTTTGGTTCTACCCACATAAGGATACACTGGTCCCAGCCCCTGTAACCATGACAGAACTATGAAGTTTTTCTAAGCCTCCACTTCACACTTTTTTAAAGGGAATATTTTCTGTTCTGCTCCTGGGCATATTCAGTTGCTTTGTGGTGTCTGTTTCAGATCCAGGTAACAACTTGGAAACATGCAATAGAATACTTTGAAAGTTGTAGCTCAGAGCTCAGAACAGAAGATTAAATTGAATTATCTATTGTTGCGTCCTTGGAATAAGGATACAGTGGTAATAATTGAGCTGGAGTGACTAAAGGTTTCTAAGCAAGAAGTAGTTACATTTGGAAAAGAAAGGGCAATTCTGAACACAAAAATATGTTCGAAAAATAGGCTTATCACTAGGGAGATGGTAGCTCACTGCTTAGAAAAAGGATACTCATATCTCACCAATTTTTATCCACTTCAGCTTTTTGAAAAATGTTCTTAATTTAACAGCAGGATAAAAAATGTGAGCTGTGGATGTGCTTAAAACAGAAGAAGCAAAAGAGGAGCTCACCAGTGTAACAAAAGGCAGCCTTTTGCAGTAGTGTTTTCATTACTATTTAAAACAAAGGAAACCCTCTGCACCTGAAACGTTTATTAGCTGCTGTTTGTGCCCTGGTCCTTGATTAGAGCTGACTTTAAACATTACAGTGAATGTGAAGAAATGATTTTGTGTACTTTCCCCAAGGAGTGCATTTTTATTCAGTGTGAGGATTCACTTCCTCAACCCTGTTTCCATATACTTGAAATCATGCACTGAATACAAATAAAAAGTGTTACAAAAATGCTAAAACTACATGGGAAACTGAGTCTGTTAATTTTTCCGAAATACTTGTTCAAGAAAACATAATTATGAGAAGATAGTATCAGCGTTCTAATGAGAAGTGTGTGTAACCACTTTGCATGTTTCTATTTTCTGTTTAAAGCACTAGTTACCATCTGGAAGGAGAGGCATGTGAGCACAGCTGGTGCTGATGTTAAAGATGAGGTGCAGAAACAGAGCAGAAGTTGAACTTTGGCTAGTGCTACTGCAAGGCAACAGTTGCAAGCCTTATGGAAGAAGGCTGAAAGAGTAGTGCCTGGTGAGGTATTGGTGCTGAGACCTGGAGCTACTGGCTAGAAACCAGCGGCTGAAAGATCTTTCCATTATCCAGGTGTTTGAAGGGTAGCAGCCATGACCTTAGTCCATAGAGTTAAGGGTAGAATTTAACATTTTTCCCCACTGTAGGAATATTTTAGCTGAGACAAGAGGAAAATACCTATTGTGAATCCTTGTCTACCTCTAAGGATTCATGTGCCTGTATTACTTGGCATTGTAGCTCAGATTTACATGAGAAAAACATTAGCAAATAAATTAAATCTAAAAATACAGTGTTTTTCTTCTGTGATAGCACTGTAACTGGCTGATTTCTTTTTTTTTTTTTTTTTTGTCTTCTCTTCTTTCTCTTTTCCCAAAGAGCCTACTCCTTTCACGTTACTGCAGATGGTCAGATGCAGCCAGTTCCTTTCCCTCCCGACGCCCTCATCGGTCCAGGAATCCCTCGCCACGCCCGTCAGATCAACACTCTGAACCACGGGGAAGTTGTGTGTGCAGTTACCATCAGCAACCCCACAAGACACGTCTACACGGGTGGGAAGGGGTGCGTCAAAGTCTGGGACATCAGCCAGCCTGGCAACAAGAGTCCTGTCTCTCAGCTGGACTGCCTGGTAGGTGAACAAGAACTTGTGCACAAGGGTAGCTTCTCCTTGGAGACTCAATAAGGTAATAGCTGTCTTTGTCTGGATTTTGTTCATATTCCAAGAAAATGGTAGGCAGTTCTGTTTCTTGCGTTTTATGTATTTAGGTGTCTATTTTTTTTTTTTTTTTAACACATAACAGGTGGAATTACAGAGAAGAGTGCTGGTTTGTTTAGGAATAAATTTAATCACTAAGGGTCAAATAACATGTTAGATAAGACTTCTAAAGTGAGAGTGTATCTGATTTTTTTTCTTTCTAGCCATACTGGTGATTTTTGTGCATGAGTGTAAAAGGAATGCAGCCTGGCTGCACAGAACCTTTCTAGATGTTTGACTCGCACTAGCAGTGACAACCTGTGTTTGGGTGGGTTTTTTTTTTGGCAAGAGTACAGCAAACACATTATGAAATAATGTGACAAGGTACCAAGGTCACTTTAAGTCTGTACTCTTGTTGGTGATCCATCACCCTCACAGTAAAGAAGTTTCTCCTTGTGTTGAGGTGGAACTTCTTATGTTCTACCCATTATTCCTTGTCCTATTACTGGGCACCACCAAAAAGTGCCTGTCCGCCTCCTCTTGACACCCACTCCTCAGATATTTGTAGACATTAATAAGATTCCCTCTCAGTCTTCTCCTCTCAAGAGTAAAGAGTCCCTGTTCTCTCAGTCTTTCTTTATCGGAGAGATGTTCAAGTCCCATAATCATCCTCATAGCTTTCTGTTGGACCCTCTCCAGCAGATCCCTGTCTTTCTTGAATTTGGGATCCCAAAACTGGATGCAGTATTCCAGGTGTGGTCTCACCGGGGCAGAGTAGAGGAGGAGGAGAACCTCCCTAGACCTGCTGGACACGCTTCTATTAATATACCCCAGGATACCATTGGCCCTCTTGGCCACAAGGGTACACTGCTGTCCCATGGACACCTTACTGTCCACTAGGACTCCAAGACATTTCCCCATGGAGCTGCTTTCCAGCAGGATGACCCCTAATCTGTGCTAGTACCTGGTATTATTCCTCTGTAGATGCAGGACTCTATGCTTGTCTTTCAGCATGTTCGCCCAACTCTCTAGTAGTGGGAATGCTGCTGAGTACTGCTGGCAGTGGTTTTTGTATGTATTGAGTTACAGATCTTAACCCTTCATTTCCAAAGAACCATTACCGTGTTATTTTGGCAGCTGGTGCAGAGAAGTGGACAGCCAATACACTTTAGTCAAGCTTGTAATAAGTGAAAGCTGAAATGTGTTGCACCATTAAATGTTCTGTAGTACATCTCAATCAGCAATAGCATCACAAATGTGAAACTAATAACATAAATATGGTAAGAATCATGTTGAACAGCAAAGAACCAATATAAATCCAGGACCAGTACGAGAATATGTAATACTATAACTTTAAAATGGAAAATGCAAAAATAGTATTTGAAAGAAAAATCCAAAATATGAAAAGCATGAGACTTGAACTGTACTTTAACGTAGGGTTGCCTAAGTGCCAAATTAAAGGTAATTTGCTTCAGTACTTCTATTGTTTATGACCTTAGCTGATGGAGTGCATTTGCAGAAACGCAAGCTCACTTTGGCTCTGTTTTTGTTTAATGAGACAGGAGACTTTCCGTTC